GGGAGTCGATGAGGCATCCTCCAGGTGGACTCTAAAAACCGTTTTGGATCCAAGTACTAAATACATCTAAATACCAAGAGTCCCAAAACATGGTGGATCGTGTGCATCTTCTCCATGGTGTGCCATGGTGTTTTTTTTTGTTTATTTTTTGTTTTCCGGTGATGGCCCATCGTCCTGGTGGCCCATGGGGCGTCCATGTAGAGTTTTCACAATCCTGATCCCGAATCTTTTGGGGGGATGGGATGAATCAACAGCGAACTGTCTGAGTCTAATTGTGCCACTGAGTCTAATCAACAGTTCACTGAACAACTGATCAACAATCAGTTCCTTTTTTTGGGGATGGGATCAACTGCCAAGCGGTGCAGGAATTTCTTCCATCCTCTCCACCAGGTCCTCCCAGAAGCTGCGGAGCGCACTGCTGCCGCCCACACCGCACGGCAGCGGAGGGATGATGCGTCGCTGACGCCCGGCACAGAGGATTGCAAGATGCCCATGGAGTCAAATCACGAAAGGTTGCTCAGCAACCTTGAGTTTGATAAGCTTTAGCTTAGGACCTGGATTCTCCTCAATGACCTGATTTTCGGATTCTCTAAACATAATGTTCTTTGCATTCTTTGGATGTCTTTCGGGGGACTTGAAAGGGAATGTCCTTCATAGTTCTTCCGGTCGAGCTGCGCTCATACTTGTCCTTACAGGTCCTCCTAATCAGACTCCTTTTTTAGCAGTGGTCTCAGAGGTTCGATGGCACTGGCACTGGCCTGTTTTAGACAGATGGCGAGTGCAAAGCAACAGCCGACCGACTGGACATTTGTGCCACCGTCAATTCATCTCAATTCAATTCACTATATTGGTCTTGGACTGTTCCCCTGGCCCCGGCTGGGTAGACTTAGACTGGTCTATTTCCCGACACCTTCCTGACGCAACCTCAGGTGGGTAATCCACGGTGGCCGCGAGCGGCGGATCATCTCGGCCGGGGACACCTGGGTTTTCGCTGGCTCGCTCGGCCGTTTTAGAGTCCCGTCGGCCGTTGGGAGCAGCGCCGACCTGTTTGAAGCTTAAACATGTTTGAACACACGCGGCTGTACCTTGTTCGTATTCAATGAATGTCAACCTGGGATTAATCACCCCCCTTCAAGGTCAACAAGGTTCGAGATTGGAGGTATTGGAGACGACATAGGTGATGACCTGATTATCGAACCATGCGAGTTTGAACCATGAGGACCATCATAAGGCTTTTCGATGGGGTACCCTTTGTGAGCTTCCACACCTTAATATTTCACAGAGTTTAGTGTAATTACTAATTTAATAAGGGCATGGCAGCTTACATTGTAGCTTTAAACAATATACCAATGAACTATTTTTTGGATTTTCTAGGGGCAGATGGGCTTGATTAATAGGGGGGTTTTGCCAAGGAACATGTTTATTAAAGGGAGGTCAGTGTGCTTTTAATTAGTCTATTATTGGGATACCTATCAAAAAGAACGTTGATTCCTATCACTGAAAAAACTTATTCCTATGGTCCTCTGGTCCTTTGGTCCTTCGTCCTGGTCTTCGGGTCCTTGGGTCTGTACTTTCGAGGCAAGAGGCGTTCAAGGTGATTTGGAAATCTGGTCATACATCCTGTGAAGCACTGTAGCAGACCTTTTATCACCGGACGTAGCAGACCTTTTTTGTGAGCCACCCTGACGCTAAAATTTAGACGAAGAAGGTGCCATTCCAAGGTAGCAAACCTTTTGTGAGCCACCTAAGGGCAACATTTAGAAGAGGAAGGAGCCATTCCAACGTTGCAGACCCTTTGTTAGCCTTGCGAGGTTAAAATTTAGAGGAAGAAGTTGCCATTCCAACGTAGCAGGCCTTTGTTTTGCGAGCAACCCGAGGGTAGAATTTGCTATTCCAACGTAGCAGACCTTTTGTGAGCCACCCAGGGATAAACTTTAGGTGTCACGCCAAGGTAGCAGACCTAGAGGAGCAGTAGACCTTTTGTGAGCCCAGGAGCAGACCAAGGTGCCATTCCAACATGGCAGACCTTTTGTGAGCCACCACAGTCTTGTGGTTTCGAGATTCAGAGATGTCTTGAGATCCATCTACAGAAACCTAGAGGTCTGAAATTGAGGGAGATCACGGTTGAGATGCAGAGAGGTCTACATCTACAAAGGAGATCCAGGCGGATCTGCAGGTGTACAGACCTAAAGATGGAGGTTTAGAGGTCTTGAGTATTGAGATCCAGGCAGGTCTTGAAATCTAAGTTCTAGGGGTCTAGACTTGCAGAGGGTGTAGAAAGATGTTCAGATCCAGAGAGATCAAGAGTTCTTTTCACCGGTCTTGAGATCCACAGAAATTTTGCGCACTCCACGCAATCAGCACTTCGAGGTTCGCAATCGCTGCGCCTGCCACGAAGTCTGCGCTTATAGACAGGTTCAGCCAGCGCCGCGCCTTCCACGCAATCTGAACTTCGAGGTTCACCCAGCGCCGTGCCTGCCACGCAATCCGCACTTCGAGGTTCATGAAGTGCTGCGCCTGCCATGAAATCTGCAGTTCCAGTGCACAAAGTGCTGCGCCTGCCAGAAGCCTTGCAACTGAAGGTGCTCAAAGTACTGCGCCTGCCACGAAATCTGCAGTTCCAGTGCACAAAGTGCCGCTCCTGCCACGAAACCTGCTACTGGAGGTGCTCAAAGTGCTGTGCCTGCCACGAAACCTGCACTTCCAGTGCACAAAGTGCCGCTCCTGCCACGAAATGTGCTGGTGGAGGTGCTCAAAGTGCTGCGCCTGCCACGAAATCTGCGCATTCAGATTCACATCGCGCAGCGCTGCCAAGGTGGTTCGCAGTGGCAGGCGCAGCTCTTTGTGAAAGGCTATTTGGTTTTTGATACCAATAACTGTTCTTTTTGATGGAATATAGAAATTTTTTTTTGATATATATATATATATTCATTTACTTTCTTTTTGACAGCCCGGCCTTTATTATTGGGGGCTCGAGACGGGCTTGATTTATAGGGGAAGCTTACTCAATCCTAGGTGCGCATTGCATTGCACCCTTCTTGTCTGAAAAGGTATGAGTGTGTTGGAATCCACGCAGCTGTAAACATGCAGCCGAATGGACATGTCGACGGTCGTTCCATCGGCACCGGGTGCCGCGGGTTCGCTGCTCAGCCTGCTCCCCTTCCGGGGTTTGGTCCTCTCTCCGCTTGATGTTCTTGATGGGCGTCCTATGTTTTGGTCATCCAGGGTCATCTCAGACTCAACCTCAGAGTAGGAAGAGCTATTCATTAAAATTTTTTCTTCTCTTCCAAGGGTTGAATTGTCGTGACAGTTACCACGGTTCCCTAGACTCTCGAGTGCCTCGTGAACATCGAACGGGTCCAACGAGTGCGGCTCTGGGCCCCGACCCGTTTAGCCTCACCGGCGCCCAGCGAACCCAGCGAACCGGACCCGTTCGGACCCTGAACCGGGCGGTTCCATCGGGAGAAGCTCCTAGTAGCGTCCGACCGCTCCGGACTCGTAGCGATGCCCGAGATGCTCCTAGTAGTTTCTTTTCTGGCTCCTGAGCCTGAGGAGTACCAAGAATTGTTGGCCTCAAGTGGCTTTCGATTGGAGGGAGTGGAGCAGTTGGCATCCTACGACACTTGGGTGCCACGTGTTCTGTATTTCTCGTTGAACCGGGACGCCGCGGGTGGAGGGTCAAATGGGTTAGGACAGATGTTGCAAGCTTGCTATATTTGCTCTTTTGGACACTTTTGGGTTGAGGTAAAAATGCAAATTCTGGTGCAACTTCTCTTGACCCACCGACTCTTGGCCTGGAGCGCATGAGCACGAGCACTTCACTTGACCGGTTCCGGTGATGAACATTCACCGCAAACCAACACCTCGGGGCTTCCGGGTCGATGGGCCCCATTGGCTTCTCTGCCGTACGTCTTCGGACCTGCCGACGTGCGTCACGCCCAACGTTTCACCAAGGACTTGGTTGCGATGGAGGCGGTCTGGGAAAAGAGAAAAAGACCAAGAGCGCCCAACGGACGCTGACCGTGAAGCATTTTGGGGGTGCGCAGCAGAGCTTGAGGGGATTTGTTGAACAACAGGCAATCCATAAAAAGCAGTTTGATACTGTACAAGAGTCGCAAGAGTCGTGTCTACCTTCCCTCCAATAATCATCGAAGTGGACACTGTGTGCTTGCAAGGAAGAGGATGTTCCTCTATAAAAACAGGGGGGTTGCACTTCCATGCTTCTCTTCTGGGGCGCGGTGTATGAGCTCGTTTCATGTGAATCAGCCTTCTTGTGGAAAAAGGGAAGGGCTCTTCCGGACATTCAACTGCATAAGCAACACAGCTCCCCGGTACGACCGAGAAGCTTCAGACTTGTGGACGAGTTGCAACCATTTGTGCAGGGGATGTAGAAGGAATCCAAGAATCTTCTAACAAATCCAGATGGATCTCAAAAAGATTCAAGACTGGCTAGCATCCAGATTTTTTGTCCCGCAACTGGGACCCTGTCACTATGTTGATCTCCTTGCATTGCAAGGTGCCAGTCTTCAGTCTTCAGTCTGGATTGTTCGTACTGTATATATGTATGCATACTTCTATATGTATCCTTTGTTCAATGGAAATCAATGAACATTGATTAAAAATCAATGAACACAGTCTGCCATTAGTACCTCGCAACCACAAGTTCCCTCTCTTCTGCGAGAAGAATGCACTCCCTGGAATCATCATTGTGGTTAAGTCCCCATGGCATGGCCCCAAAAGCATGACGATGAAATCCGAAGACCAAACAAGTTGTGAACTCCACAAAGACATGATGATGTATTTCAGGGAGTGTAGCCCTGAAAATTTCCGCGATCCCTTCAGACGACTGATCATAGTTGGCCAAGACTGGAGTGTCGACCGCACCAGGAAAGGACCCCCTTTGCCAGAGAGGAACGTGGAGTTGCTTCCAAGATGACTCAAGGGACTGTGCATCCTTTTGAGCTCGTGCGTCCTTTTGGGGGCCGAGAAAGCACGCTGAGGCTGCTCCAATAGGTACAGTGGCATTTGGTCTTGGCACTCGTGGCTATGCAGAGGTGGGAGTGCTGTGAATGTCCAAGCTGCTTTCCAAGCGGTCCAAACGATGGTTTGTTTTTTTGCAACAGAAGCAGAGTTTGTTCTTGTTCGAAGGCTCCTTTAGCCATTGGCATGGGCACCAGAAGTGCCTACGCGGAGGCTGTGCGTGAAGTGCGAGGTTGTGCAAGCTTGTCTTACACATTGAAGAGCATTCTGAGTCCCTTCTCCGTTCATCATCAGAAACACAAATCACATATTAGCACCGGTCATTGCTGGGTTATAAGCAGCTTTTCTGAGCCGAAGTGAGCGCATACGTTCAAAGCCAAGAGGGTTTATGAATCCCGGCTACAGTCACCTTGAACGGTGCAACATCAAGCAATCCAGGCTGCTCCAATGGGCACAAGGGCATCCGGCGTTGGCACTCGTGCCAGCTATGCAGAGGTGAGCATGATGTGCATGTTCAAGCTGTTTTTGTCCACACTGTCCAAGACAAGCGTTTCCGAGTGTTTCTACAGAAGGAGAATTTCTTTCAGCCTTCATCAAATACAACTTCTTGAAACAGCCTTTCTTCGAAGGCTCCTTTAGCCATTGGCATGGGCACCAGAAGTGCGTATGGGGAGGCTGTCTTCGGCGCCCGAAAATGCAGAGCGCTGCTTCTCGACAGTCCAATGCATTCTGAAGCATTCTCTGTTAAAACTCACAATGCTGCCAAAGACATGTGCTTTCAATGAGAGCGAGTCCACCTCTACCAACACTTTCCAAACTCTCAAATAGTGCGAACAATTCGTTTGTGTTTCAGGCGATTGTGGGAGATAGAGTCAGATAGAGATTTTATCCACTGCCAAATAGCAAAACGCAGTGTACTGTAGCATTATTTTTTGTGCTCCCTTGGGGCATCAATCGATGCAGGCTGCTCCAATGGGCACAATGGCCTCTGGTGTTGGCACTCGTGCCAGCTATGCAGAGGTGAGAGTGCTGTGAATGTCCAAGCTGTTTACCGTTTTCCAAGCGGTCCAAACTATATTTTGTTGCTACAGAAGGAGAGTTTGTTCTTGCTCAAAGGCTCCTTTAGCCATTGGCATGGGCACCAGAAGTACCTACGCAGAGGCTGCATGTGAAGTGCGAGGTTGTGCAAGGTTGTCTTGGACATTGAAAAGCATTCTGAGTCCTTCCTCCGTTCATCAGTATCAGTAACACATATTCTCACTGTATCACATATTAGCGCCGGTCATTGCTGAGTTACAAGCAGCTTTTCTGAACCGAAGGGAGCACGTATGTTCAGAGCCAAGAGGGTTTGTAACCTTGAACGGTGCAACGCAATCCAGGCTGCTCCAATGGGCACAAGGGCATTCGGCGTTGGCACTCGTGCCAGCTATGCAGAGGTGAGCATGATGTGCATGTTCAAGCTGTTTTGGTCCACACTGTCCAAGATAAACGTTTCCGAGTGTTTCTACAGAAGGAGAGTTTCTCTCAGCCTTCATCAAATACAGCCTTTCTTCGAAGGCTCCTTTAGCCATTGGCATGGGCACGAGAAGTGCGTATGGGGAGGCTGTCTTCGGCGCCCGAAATTGCACGACGACGCTGCTTCTCGACAGTCCAATGCATTCTGAAGCATTCTCTGTTGACACTCACAATGCTGCCAAAGACATGTGCTTTCAATGAGAGCGAGTCCACCTCTGCCAACACTTTCCAAACTCTCAAATAGTGCGAAAAATTCGTTTGTGTTTCAGGCGATTGTGGGAGATAGAGTCAGATAGAGATTTTATCCACTGCCAAATAGCAAAACGCAGTGTACTGTAGCATTATTTTTTGTGCTCCCTTGGGGCATCAATCGATGCAGGCTGCTCCAATGGGCACAATGGCCTCTGGTGTTGGCACTCGTGCCAGCTATGCAGAGGTGAGAGTGCTGTGAATGTCCAAGCTGTTTACCGTTTTCCAAGCGGTCCAAACTATATTTTGTTGCTACAGAAGGAGAGTTTGTTCTTGCTCAAAGGCTCCTTTAGCCATTGGCATGGGCACCAGAAGTACCTACGCAGAGGCTGCGTGTGAAGTGCGAGGTTGTGCAAGGTTGTCTTGGACATTGAAAAGCATTCTGAGTCCTTCCTCCGTTCATCAGTATCAGTAACACATATTATCACTGTATCACATATTAGCACCGGTCATTGGTGAGTTACAAGCAGCTTTTCTGAACCGAAGGGAGCACGTACGTTCAAAGCCAAGAGGGTTTGTAACCTTGAACGGTACAACGCAATCCAGGCTGCTCCAATGGGCACAAGGGCATCCGGCGTTGGCACTCGTGGCAGCTATGCAGAGGTGCGCATGATGTGCACGTTCAAGCTGTTTTTGTCCGCACTCTCCAAGATAAGCGTTTCCGAGGGTTTCTACAGAAGGAGAGTTTCTTTCAGCCTTCATCAAACACAACTTCTTGAAGCAGTCTTTCTTCGAAGGCTCCTTTAGCCATTGGCATGGGCACCAGAAGTGCGTATGGGGAGGCTGTCTTTGGCGCCCGAAATTGCACGACGCTGCTTCTCGACAGTCCAATGCATTCTGAAGCATTCTCTGTTAACACTCACAATGCTGCCAAAGACATGTGTTTTCAATGAGAGCGAGTCCACCTCTGCCAACACTTTCCAAGTTCTTAAATAGTGCGAACAATTCGTTTGTGTTTCAGGCGATTGTGGGAGATAGAGTCAGATAGAGATTTTATCCACTGCCAAATAACGCATTGTACTGTAGCATTGCTGTTTGTGGCCCCTTGCAGTATCAATCGATGCAGGCTGCTCCAATGGGCACAATGGCCTCTGGTGTTGGCGCTCGTGCCAGCTATGCAGAGGTGGGAGTGAATGTCCAAGCTGCTTTCCACGCGGTCCAAGGTTTCACGGCCTTGTTGAGTCTGACCCAGCGGCCTTTGTTTTTCAAGGACGGCCCCCGATCATCCGTGGAGGACCACGGCCACCGCTATCGGCCACTGCCTGTCTGCACCATCCACCCTGCTTCTTTAGTAGAGCTGCTGTAAAATAAAGCACTGCTCGCCACATTATCGCAGTTTTGTTGGAGGGATTGGTCACCATCAAACAACCTCGACAAAAATCTGACGAACGCCGACTCTTAGAGCGGCAGGAAGATAGAGAGAGAGAACGACGAAGGATTTGCGAAAGTGCCAGGACCTGCGCCAAAAAGCCTACCCTCGACCGCCCAAACAATAGTCCACTGATGTCCACTGTCCCAGTTCATCGACCACTTCTGGTTTGGGCCAAAAGCGCAGGAGGCCTTCACCCCCCCGTCCCGTCGACCAGGCGCTGCCTTTGGCTCGAAGCAGCATGTATGTGGCGGCCTCGGAGGGGAGGGCCACTCCGAGGGCATCGAGACGCCGAGGGCAAGTCGTGCTTTGGAGCTTTCCTCATCTTTCCTCTTTCAAAGTTCTCTGAAGAGAAAATCGATTCAGACGTTGGATGATGTTGATGTCCTCCCAAAATACAGCTAATTAGGCGGCTTAGCCATCAATCTAATTCCCAAGTTTTCGCACAAACAAGACGTCCCGGCTCGTCTTCTTTGCGAAGCCCATGGGCCCTATGGGTTGCCCAGCGGTCGAAGATGTCCCGTTTTGCGTCTCCTTTGCGTTCCGTCTCCCGGTGCCGATCAAAGGACGGACCATGGAAAGGAGTCTGTGGGCTTTCTGACATCTATCCTCCTAGACTCGGTAAAACATCAGCACCACACTTGAACAGGGGATTGGCAAGTGTCCGTACCAAGGGTAAGACCAGATGGAACGTTCGGTGACACTCCCTCAGACTATCATGGTTTTCTCCACCAGCAGACTCGGTTTGTGTACGGATTTGTTTTTTTGTGTCTTCCAGGGGGCTGTGTTCCACTTCCATGATGGTGTCAGGAAGTGCAATTCAACCTCTATTTGACAGGAAACTGCTTGGGGGGTTCGTCTGTGGCTCTTTTTCCGTTGAGGACTTTGGCATCGGCTGCGAGGTGTGGGGCGACTGGGGGGCGCGGGAACGTTCGGACTCGGACCTTTGGGGTTGGACAGATGTGCCCGGTGGCCCCCGGAAAGATCCCAGATAGGAAGGTTGTTGTTGTTTTTTCTATTTTTATATTTCTCTTTCTCTCCATTTCCATGTGCGCATGAGTGCTGCAACATGTTGGAAGGTTGGGAATTGGAATCCTGGTCTTCATCACATCCAGATCAGAAAAAACTTCACCTTGAACTCCTGACGTCCTGACGGTGTTTCGTCTCAACGACGCAGGTTGACCCGGTGGATCATCGATTTCGGCTCCCAAAAAGCGCGCAGGACCTATTCAGTTCCGTGACCTGTTCGGTGTCCGTTCGGATGGAACATCGAGATGAATGGAGTGTATGTACAGTACCGAGGATGAAGAGGATGCCTTGATTTATTTTAGTTGCGTTCTTTGAGTAGCTCTAGTGAGGATGAACCTTCAACTGTTCATCCAATGCGGTTGAAAAAGTGGTCACTGGAGTTATTTTAAAGCCTAAGACCAAGTGCTCGCGAAGACCAACCCATCCACCAGGTTTCTGCTTCGCTTTCGAAGCATCCGATCCGATCCGTTCCGATCCGATCCGTTCCGATCTGTGCAAACCGATGGGTCCACGGGTCCTGATCCAACGTGACGGGTGCCTGGTTCTTGGCATGTTTGGGTGACCAATCCACACACAAGTCTTCTGCTAATATGTCCTGATCATGTCCGGTCCAAGTCCGGACATCAAACCCTGTGGCAAATGGCATATGGATGTGTATCTCAAAAAAGGGAGACTTCCCAGGCAACGACCCCCTGAAAGGTTTGGGACATACACCAGTCTACCCAGCCAGGGCCAGGGAGTCGCAACATTACAGTACACGCCAATATGTATGTGATACTTTTTAGCTTTTGACCATGTCCCTAATGCTCAAGAAGAACCTCGCCTGACAGGCCAGCGCAGCTCAGGTGAGGACATGGAGGAAGGGTGATCAATATGGTCTTCCACCGATATTTTCATACTCGTGTGTACGCCGGATGTTTTAGATGTGATCGATCCCTTTGGTGAGATTGACAAATCAAACAAGTGTCTGACCAACTGGAGATTGAACATGCTCAAAAGGACTCTCTCTTCAGGTTATCCAGTATCTGAAGAATCTTGGCTAGAACTCTTTGCTTTCGAACCTGGCCCTCATCCTCATCCTGAATTGGACTACTGCGGATTTGCTAGAAGATTGGCCAATTGGACTATGCCAGGTCCCCGGCCAGGGGTGTCTAATAATATCCCCTTAGAGGTTGAGGGATGTCCATCAACCACCCCAAACTGGGTGTTCTGGTACGTCCTTTTTGGTCTGTTCCCTATGAACCACTTGATTTGACAACGCCGCGATGGGTTCGCTCGCTGGCCCCTTCAGGTGGGCCAAGGTAGGTACTCCAGGACTGAGGTACCTCCATACTTCGTCATGGAGTACTCCATACCAGTTGGATGTGGAGTACCAACCTCCCAGTTGGATGTCTTCATCTGATGCCATGCGAGGCGTATCGACTGAGTTCTGCGATTGCGCGAACGAACCGAACTGCGAACCCCGCCTACACTGGGCAGGTGGGCACGTTGGGCTCCCGCAGCGCGCGGGGGTACTCGATGATGTCTGAGGTGCGGAGCGACAAGTCTCGGAACTCAATGGGTCAACAGAGGCATCTGTTCTTGCATGAACACATGTTGAAGTTCTTCTGAAGTGTTTTTTTGTTTCTCTTCTCAGAACATGTTACAAGCACGAATCGCATTAGGCTTCAAGACTGCATTTCGGTGGCGACGAGTGTTCTCTTGCAGAAGAGGGTCACACAAACGATAGACCGCAAAGAAAAAATATGATCCTGCATTGAGTGGTTTCAAAATTGGAGTGGTTTCAAAACTGCATTGAGTGTTATTTCAGAATCACCTGTGGCAAGGTGGAGTGGAGACATTTGTTTCCGCTTGGTTTTTTCACGATAGCCTAGCAAAGAAAACACCAATACCAAAGCCCAAGCAGGAAGTCAAGGAGGCGAGCAAACCGGCCAAACCAAGCCCGTCAGCCCGCCCAGACCGAAGTTCGCTGCGCGGTCACAGTTGAAATGCCTTAGTTGAGAATCAGTGCAACTGTGTCATTGCAAAAGGCGCCAGAATGGAATCAAACTTCTCCATGAAGACCTCCATAGACCCCGAAGTGGGATTGCCACTGCGGCAGGGGGGTTCCCTGGCGCGGCCAGTGAATCAGGCGGGGAAGTCTAGTTGATCGAGCCGATCGAGTCAGGAACAGGGGCAGGTGGCAGGTTTTACATTCCTTCACTATACTGTGTACACTCCCTGGAACTCACATGGTTGTGGCCAGAAACATAAGGCCACCAGATCACACACCCAAACTTCAAACCCACACACGATCCATACCTCGATGCATAGGGTATGGATCCAAAGGTGTATGTGTGTGATCCAAGCCATTCAATCACATGGTTTGGTTGTTGTGTGGTTGGAGGGCCCCATTCCCAAAGGTGATCCACGGAGAAAGAAAAGAAGAAGAAGAAGAAGAAGAAGAAGAATAGAGTAATAATAAGAAGAAGAAGGAAGGAGAAGAGAAGAAGAAGGAGAGAGAAGAAAAAGGAAAACACAGAGGACAGACCAAGAAGAAAGACAAGCAAGCACGAACAATTAGCAAGACAAGAAAAACAAATAAGATGCTGAAGGCAGAACAAGAAGAAGACCAGCAAGCAGGAAATGGAAGAAAGAAGAAAGATGTAGAAACAAGAACACACAGATGCAAAGAAAAGAAAACGAACAAGAAGGCAGAAGAAGAAGACAGTCCAAAACGAAACCCCGGAAAAGACTTAGTGGAAGCCGCTAAATTGACAGTGAATGGCTACTTCGGCCCTTGCGTGAAGTGTTGATGTGAACAAGACAACCTGCTTAGCACTGACCCTCGCGACTGGCCACCGTGGCGTGGACGAGCGAAAAGAAGATGCGGCGCAGGGCGAGCGCTGGTCAAGAGTATCGAGCCTCGAATTGACACCAGGAATGTTGTCACTTTTTTGGTGCTGTTTTGTTGAGCAGACAATGGGTCAGTTGGCCTTCATCACCAGCATGTCAGGGATCTTCACATCGCCCGGCATGAAGCTTCAAAGCCTGCGCTGGTGGATGCAGCTGTGCAGACAGATTTTGCACCTTGTTGACAACGACGAATCCATGCGTGAGTTGGGGGGGCCACTGAGCCAGGGCTCAGTTTTTGAAAGGGGGCCACCACCATCCAGCCAGGCACCCCGTATTCTGACAGGCTATCTGACCCTGCTGACCGCCCAAAGATAGGCGAAAGCTGGCCGCGTGTCGCGACGCAGTTTTGGGCCAGCTGCGGGCCGAAGAGAAAGCGCGAGCGAAGCGCAGCGTCAAGTCTGCCCAGCGGTTGAGGCTGTGGCCCTCGGGCCGCGACTATGTGGGCTCAATCCCGGTGGCCCGCTTGGTGACGGGGTGTAAGTCCCATGAGGGCTGCGACGCTCCCCGTCGGAAGGCAGGGTTAGCGGTTGCAGAGTGCCTTGTGGGCCCGGACCGGTAGGCGCTAGGGCGCAGCCCAACAGCAGCAGCGGCGGCGGCGGCGGCGGCGGCGGCAGCGGCAGCGGCAGCGGCAGCGGCAGCGGCAGCGACAGCGACAGCGACAGCGACAGCGACAGCGACAGCGACAGCGACAGCGACAACATCAACAACAAGCGCAGCGTCAAAGCACGCAGGAAGAGGCTCCCCTTTACCTTGGCGAGCAGTGACGAGTCATTTTCGGACTCGTCTACTTCCGGCTGAAAAGCAGGGCTGGTGAGCTGGCGCGTGGCTTCCGGCAAGCCATTTACAGTAATTGGACCAAGGATGATCGATGATCGCGGAAGAAACGTGCAGCAGCAGCCATTAAACTCAAGTTCCACCTGCCTGTCAACTCTTTGGTGTTGAGTGTGGTTTTGCACTGGTGCGCAGTTTTCAATCTGGTGGACCCAAGAACTGGAAGTGCCCCCCCCAAAATGTTTACTGGAAGCCCGTCAATTGAACGTGTCACCTGGTTCTTGGGCTTGACTTTCCTGGGCGAGCTTTTTGCAATGTCTGGGCATTCAAACAAACAAACACACGCGCGCGTGCGCACATAGCTTTTAGTGGACACCAGGGGTTCAGTTGTGGAAGAGGCTTGGATGCAAAGACCGTGATCCATAGGGTTTGGGTCAGAGCCTTGATCCATGGGGTGTGGATTATTGTCGTGGCACTGCAGAACGATCCATACAACGTTCTTGGCGAGGGTTTTTCACTTCCGTGCTAGTTTCAGGGAGAGGGCAATTTTGGGAATCAAACTCACACACAAACGAAGATATAGCCGAAACCATTGGTGAAATCTATGTATAGTGCGGAACGTCTGGAGTCTAGACATGTAATCTGGGAAGAGCCAGCTATATAGACCGCATCATACAATGCTGCTTCAAGCTTGGATCGCCGTGTAGGAACAAAACATTTCCCAGTAGAACCCCTTTCCCTCTTTCACAAGGAAAACCCTGGGCTACAGCGCTTACAGGACTTGCTCCCCCGAAACGGCGGCTTGCGAATGTTCTGATGTACAGTTTCCGGCACGGTGCGGCATCGGGCGAAGCAGGGAGCCACGGTGGACATCGTGTGTTGCACCAGTGACGAGGCGCGTAGTAGCACGTCGCGCAGCCGAGCAGCCGAAGGGGAAGCAGCCGGGGACGCACATCAAGAACAGCAATGTCACATCTTGAGTAATAAACCTCCATATGAAAAAATTACACCATCCAATGGGGGGTTTACTATAGACATCAAGATTCCACACTATGAAGAAAACAAAGATGGGGATGATGATGAAGACCAGTATCCACCTGAGTGGATTTCTTTCGGTACTGACTAGTAAAAAAGAGGACGTTATATATATATATATTATCTATAACCCTCCAACACGAAGTTACGAAGTCCGTTGTTTGAGGTTTCGGTCCTGTGCAACTGGCGGAAAAAAATATTGAAGATTGGTACCGATCTTGTTTGCCCTCGAAGATGCCAAACCATCGCGATTTCGAAGGAACAAAGCCACGGAAAACACGTTGCTTTTCCTTTGCAGGATGTCGCGCAGAGAATTGGTGAATCCCATGGCTACTTAGTGCTTGATGTGTCCTCCTTTGCAGTGCCGGGAACGCATGGAAACCACTCATGTTGGTGTACGCAGATCCCGCGGGAGTTATAGATAGGAAGAGTAAAACCTTGAATTCAGGAGGTGACTCTAGGTGCACCAACAGCATGCGACAGCATCAAGGATCTACATTGTTTCTCTCACATGGGAGTGGAACATGAATTTGAGACAAAAGTAATATTTTCCTTTACTAACCGCAAACTTTCCACTTCTTGGACTTCTAGTGTGTTGAACAGCATCCCGGTGAAGGATTGGATCGCTTTGGCAGATGCTTTGCCTTCGCTGAAGGCCTTCAGCTGGCTATAGGATTCTAGAGCTAGTACCACTTAACCATTGGATCTCGACCCGACCGCCGCTGCACTTTCCCGCGAGGTGCCGCCGCTGGAAGCTCCGCGGTCCGCCCGTCCCAGCAGTTGCCTCCGCAGCAGCTGTCGGGCGAGCCATGCTGAGGTGCCAAACAGCCCAGGAACAGGGGAACTGAAGCAAACCAGGGTTAGAGTGGCCTCCAAATAGATAGACGGGTTTCCAAATGAACTTTGGGCATGCAACAGGGCCAAGTGTGCATTTGTGGGAATGCGATGCTGGGCTTCAGTGCAAGTGGCCTTCCGTGGTTTCGGCATGGTTCGTCACTCCAACAAATCAAGCCGCCACCCGGTAGAGTGCAGTAGGTTGGCACGTAGTTTGACATGTCTTTGGAAGCTCAGACATACCCTGGTGCCGGGGTTCTGCCTCGGCACGCGACCAGGTGCCATTTGAGGCCCGGGCCCCAGCTAGGCCCCCAGTCGGCGCCGGTGGCTTGGGTCCTGAGCGAGGTTTTGGGGGATCCCCGCCAGGCCGAGCCACATGTGAGTTGCATGTAGAACGAGCTAGACTTCCTTGACCAGTAGGACTTGTAGAAGTTGAGCAGACGTGGAATCAAGAGTGGAGTCGGAATGCCCTTTCTTTTTGGTTCCTTTTCCTTCTCGACCTTGGTGTCTGCAGACACCAGAGTGCCACAGCAAGTTCTGAGCAGAATGGTTTCAAGAAGGGTTGTTCTTTTCTCATCGAACATGATGATTTCTAGATGGATGGGAGTCGGGAGGTTCTTGGATAAATCCGCTTTCCCTCGGAAGTTGCAGCAGCCTGGGCAGTTGATATCTGTAAAGGTGATGTGGCCTGAAGCGTCCCAGTCAGTAAAAGTTGTAAAAATACGTACACATATTATCGTGATTCTTGAGAAAGGCCTGCATACCTAGCATCCTAACCATTATCATCCACTGTTGCTGGTAATGAACTATACCTGCATATATATATATTATACCCACGGGATATATATATATATACACACTGTATACAGTATATATATATATATACTTATTATACATGTTTTTGTCTTTTTGTATTTTGCTTTTTTTTGTCGTCTTCTCAAGTACAATTTTTGAAATGATCCTGCTATTCGTGGCCTAATTAATTATGCAGGTAAGGTAGCTGTGGCCACCCACAAAGCTATTCAACTCTGTATACAGATGTCGTGGAATCTGGTCAATACTTGCAACATACTGTGGCGGTAGGTCACCCATAATGCTGTTTTGGGCCAAACACCTACGTTGGCACACACCCACACGAATGCAACGCTCTCTGGGGTCTCCTGGCTCATAGCAGAAGAGCAGGAGAATGCAACAAAGTCATAGCCTGTTGTGAAGAAGTGGAGTGAAGATATGGGAACACTAGCTGGTATATATATATATATGTGGCTTATTTGATCATTGATCTACAACCTTTTTCCCTGGAATGATCCCAGCAACCCATACTTTGTGTTTTGAAACCGCCAAAACAGCTAGGATCCAGTCACTAAGAGCCGATCCCGTCACGTCACAACACCAAGCACGACGTCCTTTTCACCACGCGCGCCTCGTGGCGACTCGTCGAAGCAACGGTTCCTTTGAACACCTCCAGATGCGCCCACTGCGCCCACGAACGCATGAAGGAACCAAGTTTTTCTGGTGGCAGAAGGCAAGTTCAGACAGTACTACAGGAAATGAAAAACACTCAATGATGAAACTTTGACCCTCAGCTTGCCATGGCTTCTCGAGCAAGTGATGAGGCTGGATGTACAGTGAAGGCGATTCATGCTCTGTTCACAGTAGTTCTGGGTGATCATTGTCGTGCGGCAAAAGGGACGAGTATGGAAGCACATTTAGGAAGTGTCCAATTTGGGGAGGGTCACGAAAACGGTGGTTTTGGGAGGTTTGGTGCTCCGAAAACGGAAACGCATCGACGGTCTCGACCTGGATGACGCGAGACGGTCTCGACCCTCCATCGGACCACGTGAGTGGTGTAAAGCATGGAGGCGGAGCCCACGTTG